GAAACAAGAGTTCCGAATGAAATAAGCGAAAAGAAGCGTATTGTGAAGGACCGGCGATTTCCTCTCATTTCTTCATGGCAGGGACAGTGGTGGATATACCAAGGTCGTCCCCCGGCTGCCCCTCACCCCCTTTGATTATAAAGCGCAAATCACTACCGTGTACTAATACGGCTGAAGTCACTAGAAGAAAGGCATCTTTTCGGGGCTACAGCATTCCAAGAAATCCAAGAAAAGCAAAATCTCTCGCAAGTCTATCGAAATACACTTGCGGCTGAAGCAAGCGGTCGCAGCAAGGTCTTGGTTTGGAATTTTGGGTTAACAGCATTGTTTCGATCTGTCTACATGGCTTAAACATTCACGTATAGCGTGTACTTTTGATAGTAAATATGAATTTAAGAGTAAAAAATATATAGAAGGAGGATACCACTTCAAATACATGAACAACCAATTATAAAATCATCATTGCCAGTCACTTACCATTTACGGAGACCGTTCCAAAATAAGACATTCGGATAGCTCTGACGACGGTGCCGTAATTGGCGATTTCGACGGTTTCTTTCTTAAATCCGCTTCGAGTTTCACATAACTAAGAAAATCACTTGAATCAGACTCGGAGTCAAGGAAAATGTCTGACACAAGATTTTTTTTTTCACTCACTGTCACGATATTTACATTCGATCGGCGCTGTTCTCAAGGCAAAGCTTGCTCTCCCGTGTCCGCCGGAGAAAAAGCCTTTAGTACAGTAACAATAATAAGGCCTTTTCCTCGGTGGTCACGGAAGAGCAAGCTTTGACTTGAAAGCAGCGCTAATCCCAGAAATGGCAGAGAAAACGAGCGATTGCTGCCTTGCGCTTGCGTTAGCGAATGCAAACCAAGGTGTCGACTCTTCTCCGAGATTTTCCTTGACTCTGAGTCTGGTTCCCGTGATTTTCTTGATTTAATGACACTCATGAGCATTCTAGCTCCCTTGCTATTTACAAAGCGGCTGTCAACAGGTAGATAATGCAGCAGGATTCAAGTGGTCTTTGTAAACTAGTTTATTGCCTAATGTGCTGTGCATCTCATTTGTTTCTGTCTGGTTAACCCGCTACAAAAAACAAGAAAGAGGCTTTATTCGAACACGATATCACCCTTGACTTCGGTAGTTTATTGATATCTTTTAATATTTCCTTTACAACTAGAACTTTAAAACCATGGAACTACAACAGAGAATAAAGAGTTTTTAAATGAACACATCATTCCTGACTTCGGAAAGCAACATCATTTCATATTTCCTTTAAAGCCAAAACTTTGAAACGATTAAACTATATGTCCTCAATTTTAATCGTAATTTACAGAGCAGGCATGACTATAAACTGTCTCCACACTTTGAGTGAAAATGTGGTCGGTCAGCAACATGAACACCGTCTATTAACCACCTGTTTCTCAGGTATGGAAGGTATGCTTAGCGCTTTACAATAATATTAATAATTATAACGCTAATGGTGATGGTAAAAATTATCATGATGTTAATGATGTTGATATCAGTAACAATAATAAGAACAATGATAATAATAAAAGTGATGATCGCAATATTGAGAATAATAATGATGAAATGATAATCATGTTAATGATAACGACAATTTTCATATTGGTGTATATAACAGAAGCAATATCTCGAGATGAAATAATTACACTGACATGCCATATTAACTGTGTATGCCAATGATTTTTTTCTTTTCTTTTTACAAATGTGCACGCTCTCAAGTAAAAAAGAAAAAAGCGTGCTTTCGGAACCAACCAGCAAGTCCCATATTCAAGAATCCTAAGATTTTTTATTATCCTTCATAGATCAATTCTCCAGGAGGCGTTCCATCTAAATAAATAGATATGTAAATAAATTGATAGATAATTAAACAAATAAATAGATAGATGGTTGGATAAAAGAAAGTTTAAAAAATACGGGATCGTGCGAAGTTCTGTTGCCATTGCGTGTGCCTGTTTTGGAAGGAGAATGGATTGATGAAACACAATATTAGATAGGGAAAGAAAAAAAAAATATAGATAAACCACGAGAGCAATAGACGTAAAATACAATAAAAAAGGTGAAATGGAAAATCCTGAAAGTCTGTCTGGTAATCATTACTGCAAAAGCACTGTCTGGCAAAAGTGGAATTCGAAGCTGTTATAAACAGGGAGGAACGAGATGCCGCTGTGCTTCCGCCTTAGTGTTCGAACGGATAGGCTGTCGTAAGGAGCGTCTGTGTTTGGCGGTTTTTATTTTTAAGATATGTTTATTTTGTGTGTAAAATATTCATAACACGCGTGAGATATCGGGATTATCTTCGGGATGATTATGAGTGCATTTTTACCTCTTGATTTCCTTTGCTTTCATGGCGGCAAAATTTGAAATGTCACTAAGAGCTATATTATCATTTTAGTGCGTCTAAATCATCATTTACTTTGAATCGTTATGGAACTTGCCTGACTTTATTCGGAAAGAAGTAGAATAAAAACAAAACACGGTATAATCTACACATACCTAAAAACAGATGTGTCTATTCCCCACAGAATGCGTGATGCGCATTATGAGGCTGCTGCGTCTCCATGTTCTGTGCTTGGGCGTCTGCTTGTCCGCGGCCGGAGGCGACGAACCCCAAGGTAGCGTAGCGTTTTACCTTTTCTTTTCTTTGTTTTTGTTTTGTTGGGCATGAAAAGGCTCATTCTTCTTGTAAGTGTGATCCATTTCAAAGTCTAAATGTTTATGAAGTGCCTAATGCATTTGCTTGCCTTTCGCCATGCAGGATGTGTCATCACGGAAACGAAAAATGAGACTGTGGCACTAAATCCGGAAACGCTAGGAAAACCCCTTTACCTGTGGCCTGGTTCCTCTCTGTCTTCGCTATCCTTAGCACTACTTTTAAATAATGGAATTGATGAAAACTCCGCCACTGTCAATTTGAAGAATGCGACTCATCTTCTTCCTAAGACCTGGAACATGATAGAATTCTCAACAACAAAGGTAGCTATAAAATCCCGGCTTAGAAACTGACTTGGAGAATATTCCCAAAGCATCAATCACTATATCAGAACTAACATTATATCATCATATTTTTTCCTCAGACGAAGGACACGAACTTTTCAACTGTGTGCATCCCGGCTGTCAATGAGACTCGTATCCTACGGAACTGCTCAAATTGTTCACTGAAGGAGCTACATATAAAAGTAAATGGAAGTGCCCTGTTTGCCTATAATTGTTCAAACAACATCAACCCTGCAGCTCTCTTCGCAGACCATTGGAAGGAAGCAGGTGTGTACAGGTGTGGAAATGACACGAGGTATATTTTGATGACATGAAATACCCTCCCCCCTCCCCCTTGAAAAAATATACGTGATAATATACAAAGTAGCGAGATGCATAGTTGAAATCAGCTTCATCGATTTCCTTTATATAGACAAAACAGTTATTATGTTGCTTTATCAATATATGGTCTGTCTCTCTTTTTTAATCTTCAGAATAGGGCATATTGGTCTCTTGATAAGAGAAACAATATAAATGAATAAAACTGGAAATCAAACATGTGGCCACGTATTAATTAGGCAAAAATTGGTAAAATCTTATTTCCTTTCACTGTTACGTATCATATCAACAATCCTTTAAATATTAAGAAAGACTGCCTAAGAAAAGTTATTCAATGGGCAGTTTGCTAATACTTGCATATATTTCCTTTTTCTTGCAGAAATGCCGCAGTGCCACACCACATCAGATAACGATATCTGGAAAGTGATGTCGCTGTTGCTTCTTCTGACCTGTGTCTTCTTGGGTCTTGGCAACTTCCGGGCTGTCACGAAACTCGGGAGGTGGAGGCCGGCAGGCAGCGAGGGGCACAGAGCTCGCAGCCAGGAAGCCGACCGTTCGCAAGAGCCTATATATGAGGAGTTAGATGACACGAGAACGACAGCAGTTGCTCAGGAAAGGACGAACAGCATTTACGGCGCTTATGTTTAGGAAAAGGTTACGCGCCTTAGCTCAGGAGCCATTCTCTAGGCGCAGGAAGGGATTCAGTTGTCTCTCTGATTATGGTTAATGCTATTTTTGTGCAGCACGATTACTGTTATGCGTTCTACCTTTCGAAACCGGTTAAATCATATGCAGGCACACACACACGTATATTTAACACACACACACACACACACACACACACACACACACACACATATATATATGTATATATATATATACATGATATAATATATAACATATATGTGTGTGTAAATATATTCATATATATTGTATATACACACAAGTACATATATATGTGTGTGGGTATACTATATATATGTGTCTATACATAATATATATGTGTATGTATGAATGCATGTATGCACACAAACATACACACACACTTATATTTATATGTGTATTTATATAATTATATACATATACTATAATTGCATCTTTGCTTAAAAATGGTTAAAAACAGTATTATAGAAAAGGTATGGATAATATTATTGGCATTAGTGCTTGAAATGATTTTGATAATAAAAAGGATGCTACCGTTGACAATAATCATATGTTGAATAAACATGTAAAATGAAAGACTGTAACGATGAAAACCATAATGATATTGATAATGTCATTTATTATTGTTGGTATTACTGCCAATAGTGTCGTGATCCTCTGCACCATGGTATCGAATCATTTATTATTAGTACAATCAGGTTAATGGAAGTTGACATTTATCTAATTTTTTATAGTTTCAGCGTTTTGTAATGATTTTTACTGTAAGGATCCTTGCTATTGTCATGATAAAGGTCATGATTTCTTTTATCATTATTTTCCCCATTTTTACTGTTATTTTGATATCAAAAGGGGAAAGAAAAAAAAGCACAGAGAATTTCAAAACATTAATTTCCTTTACTGCAACAGATCTATTTTGCATGAAGATTTGCAACAACCAGAACCAGACAAACTCCAGTTAGCCACCAAGTTGGTCCCTAAATTAAGGGAAACAGAACCATCACAATTCTTTTTCCACCACAATTCATTGGTTATTTTTTCTGATGGCGAGGAAAACCGAATATTGCTGGAGAAACCTAATAAGGACAATAACTACAAATATTAATACCAATGTTTGCCTATAATTGTTCAAACAACACCAACCCTGCAGCTCTTTTCGCAGACCATTGGAAGGAAGCAAGCCGTACAGATGGGGAAATGGCACGAGGTATATTTTGATGTCATGAGCTATCCCCCCCCCTGAAGAATATATGTGTAATAATATACGGTGTAATTAATATTCTTTATATAGGCAGAACAAGTATTTAAACCAATATACTATTAACAACAATAAGATAAGAGACTTCATCCCCACAGATTTTCCTATACATACAGAACGCTTATTTTTGCTAACATAAGGACTTTCTTCTTGCCGAATTTCTTTCTTAATAACGTCTGTCAGTAAAAGGAGTAATTAAGAGTAGGAAAATATATATAAACAAACAATATCACTATTAAGTAGAACTTTTGCAAATCCTCAAAATGCTTTCCTTCCATTCATATTCCTTATCGTTAAATGTGATTCACTGACGTCCGAAATTTCTTTTCAAGGTCAAGAAGGGACACAAATTAAAAGGATTGTCCAGATATCTTACTCGTTATTATTTATTTGTCTGTTGCCTACAGAGACGCCGCAATGCATAACGACGTGCGAGTCAAGTGATGCTTGGAGTTTACTGCTGCTTCTGCCGATCTGTTTCCTCTTGATCCTCTGTTACATTTAGACCTTAGTAAAACACAGGAGGCGGAGCGCAGGAGAGACAGCCCGCCACCAGGAAGACGACTTGCCCTTGGTCTCTCTCGGTGCCCAGAACGTGCCCTTGGTCTCTCTCGAGGCCCAGAACGTGCCCTTGGTCTCTCTCGGGGCCCAGGATCTGCCCCCACCCATGCCGCCCCGCTTTCTCGAGTCCCCGCCTGAAGGAGCCGTGAGGAGGGAACGAGGTATGAGGGGGTACCACGATGCCTCTCAGTCGACAGAGAGTGAAAATGTGTATGAGGAAGTTCCGGAGGGCGCGATAAAGGCGCCCATCTCGGTCGAGAGCGTGAACAGCATTTACGGCACCCTTCCTTAGGCGCGAGTGCTGCCTTTCGGCTCGCAGGCTTTCTTCAGGCGCAGAGTCAGGCCGCCCTCGCTCGGCTCTTTGGTGTAGTGAACTGATATATATGTATATATATATATATATATATATATATATATATATATATATATGTATATGTATATATATATGTGTGTGTGTGTGTGTGTACACACATAGGCACATATATACATATATATACATACATGCATATATATATATATACATACACACTCACACGCAGTATATATATATATATGGTGTGTGTGTGTGTGTATGTATGTATGTGCAAGTGCATGCGTATTTACATGTACAATGATGTGTGTTAGAATGTATGTATTATATGTATGTATTGATCTATCTCTACAGTCACAGAGGATCAGGCTTATATATGTTTTTACGTACAAGTACATTTCCTTTCGTCTGACTAGTATATTCTCTCCCGGTACATGGGCTGTTATAAACCTTATGAACTTTTAGAATAAAGTGTTGCCTTATCTTTCATTTTCTTTACCTTTTTTAGACAGCGTGAAACACATACACACAGAGACCCATACATACAGACACACACAAACACATCCACCATGCACGCACACAGACCTGCAAAAAAAAACAAAAAAAACAAGAAACATTAAACAGTCTAAACAAAACTGAACAAAACAAAAATCACAAGAAAAAATACATATATGAAAAGGAAGAGGCAACCGAAGAATGCGTGAGAGAGAAAGAGAAAGAAAAAAAGGAAATAGTATAATAAGAACGACACAGAGAGAGAGATGGAGGAAGAGGGGGAGAGAGATGGAGGGAGAGGGAGAGGGAGAGAGAGAGAGAATGATAATATCTTTACCGAGATACTAAAAACGGAAACTGGAACCTACATCTTCTCCCCCCCCCCTATTCTCAGTCATAGATAGTGTTCTTACTTTTCAAAAATAAACAAATAAGACCCCCAACCTTCAATACTAGTTCTGTTACAGCTATACTCCCCCAGCGTTTCGAGACTACACATACATACACACACATATTCATACATATGTGTATATATATATATATATATATATATATATATATATATATATATATATATATATATAATCATATATATGTATATATATTCATATATATGTATGCATATCTATATCTATCTATATATATGTATAAATATACGCTCATATGTATGGATATATGTTTTTCTACAATTTTATACTAGGAAGAAGAGTAATAATAATGATAACAATAATTACGTAATGGTGAAAATTATATTAAATGAAGGAAAAGGAGACTGGGAAGGAAACACACAACACACACACACACATACACATACACATATATATACATATATATATATATATACATATATAAGTATATATATATATAAGCATGTATGTATATATATATATATTTATATATATACATATATGTATTTATATATACATATATATGTATATATAGAGAGAGTGAGAGAGAGATGAAGATAAAGGTAATAAAACGGAAATATTTTCGCATGTATAGTCTTTTATGACTTTATCCCCTGCGTGATCGTAAAAGGCGACTAAAACAGGGTTGCGACAGGAAGGGCATCCGGCGTAAAACTTCTTGCCAAAATCAACAATGCGCGAATTAAAGATGCGCTGCGGCGACCCCGAATAGGGATGACGCTAAGAAGAAGAAGAAGAAGAAGTCTTTTATGAATATATAGCATAAATAGAGGGCATTTACGTATCACGAATCAGTTCTCACAAATTTGCCATATTTCAACGTATCACAGTGAATCATAAAACAATATAATCCCACTTATGACACTCGCACAATTGTATTTTATTTCAAAAAGAAAAAACAAATATCCCAATGTCGACTGGTATGACGTGTACGTACGTGCTATGCCCACTGTGAGTACTTGTTTGATTGTTTTTATGCATAGGTGACTACACTTGCACCAATGAGCCAGTTACGAGTATCGCCTGTCTAGCCTGTTTACCCTTTCTTTGAATTATTTTGCTGTTCCTAATGTTAAAAAACATTATAATAATCATAATGTTTATGATAAAAATAACACCATCGATATTCATGATGAAAAATACGTTTTTCTCGCCATTTCAACTCAGGCAATAGCAGAGCCATCTATGGGCAGACATTTCACAAAAAATATAGAAAATAGGCATAGTTTTTCCCCATTTTTTTGTTCATTTTCCCCGGGACATATATAACATATTCTCATCAAT